TCATGCTAATGATGATTACGTTTAAGAACTTCATACTGGTCATGACATTGCTAATTTAGACCGAGATAATTGCCCTTTAATAGAACCCTTGTCTATGAAGACAAGAGCACTCAGTGTAATGGTCGTTAAGCCTCAGTCAATAAGTACAATAAAAGTTAAGAAACAGCTCATGCGGTCTTCTCTTCGAAGCCGAGCATGCACATGTGTAGACTACCAACTTAAAAAGCTGCAAGAACATAAAGGTGCTCTATGAACACAAGCTGCTCTATGGCTCGAGCTTTGCACAAGTAGTGTAAGCTCACCAAATAATTTTAATGCAAAGAAGCTTCCGCTTGGCGTTCACTGCATCAAACGCTTGAGAGTCACACCGGCATCATCACAGTAACGAGTGGAACTAGGACCTTCTCAAAATCAACGAGTTTGTATCCAAGTTTACGCGTCAATCAGTTTTGATTGAGAGACGGCTGCAGCGAAGATTGGGTACGCCCACCACGTTCGCTCTTGCTGAGGTGCAGTACTCACGTCGAGCGGTACTATCAATCTCTCTGCTTTATCGCGCAGACTATACACAAACGCACGCAGAAATAAAAATGATATCACCATGCCGTTACGATGTCTCCCATCGAATTTCACCGCGCTCACGACGTATCTGATTACAGCCGCGTGGCCACCATAATGCGATTGCACCTGGTGACGACCTGTTCCTATATATATATTCAATATTTTGTAGAAGCGAAACGAGCAGCACGGACAGGAGTGCTGCGTGTGCACCTTTGCCGCCTTAGAGTGTGGAATTTTCCATGCGGCAGGTAGAACGAAAGAAACTGCTCGAAAAAGACGTACGCCCACGAACACGCCTGTGGGAGGCACGTGTTGAGTTTGCAAAAAGATAGCGTAACATCACGCTGACGTCGCTGCACTGTTAAAATGTTTATTAAGTGGCGGCGCTGTCGTGTTCGCACGTGGTACAAGGTCAGTCTAAGTAGGTAGTGAATGTCGGAATGAAAAGTGGTTTGAAACCTATTGCGACAGACATCAACAACCGCGTGACAATTGAAGCGCACCTATATAGGTGAGGGGGGGGGGCAAATACCGAAAGCAAAAAAAAATAAATATGTAATTTTAGTAGTTTCAATTTTATTTGTTACAGAAAATTAGTAGATTACTTTATTAAAGCTTCGGTGTTTCATATGTGGTTTTGCGCCCATTTTGTTTCGTTTAGTTTCAGAAACAGCGGGCACATTCAGGCAGTCTGGTAACATGGTCCAACGGATTTATGGGCGTATTCAGGCAATCTGCTCTCAGCGCTTTTGTTTAGTTCGGCGCATTTTTTGGCGTGGCGCTTTACCAGGTCAACGAGCCATCGCTCACTTGTTTATGGCGGTTTCGTGCGTGCGTTCAGAAGTTTGCCTACTTTTATGTGCATTTCATAGCTCAACTAGCTCACAGATTGTGCAGATAGCCGCTCCTGTGACTGGCGACTGCTTTCGCTCTCGCACCTCCAGCGTGCCCTCGCCTTTGGTAACTGTGAACGCGACAGGCTAAGCAAGAAGACGCTGTACTCTACGACTGCCAAATCTATGTTTTCACTGATTGATATGGGGGGTTTAACGTCCCAAAACCACGATATGAATATGAGAGACGCCGTAGTGGAAGGCTCCGGAAATTTCGACCACCTAGGGTTCTTTAACGTGCACCCAAATCTGAGCACACGGGCCTACAGCATTTCCGCCTCCATTGGAGATCACCCACTGCAGCCGGGATTCTGTCCCGCAAAGCTATTCTTTCAAAGCTGATGTAACGCTGCAGTGATTTTCGGCGAAAGGGCTGCGTGAGTTGTCAAACTATTATCCTATTGTGCTTGGGAACAGTTGTCTCGCAATTGCCTCTGTGAAGTTTTCTGTGCATATTGCAAGTACGTGATTTGGATAATAAAACAACTTTGTTTCCTCAATTTTTGTTAGTTTCGTTTCTTTTCTCTCAGATGCAATGAGCGATACAAAATTAAGGCGTAATAAAATCGCTTAATAAGGAAGGCACGTAGTAGATGAGGAATTAAGAAAAATTTCAATGTCGCGCCATGTAGGGCAGATGCGCGATGTCGCTACCGCTTCCATTTGTGACGTCATATTTTGTTTTTTTAGATGCGGAGCATCTTATACTCGCGCCTTGTAGTGCGCCGTCCGCGCCGTCCGCACCGCTTGTAGAACATTCGACAGCTGACGCGCGCGCATGCGCCGTCGCGCCGTCGCCCACTCTTCCACCATCTGTGCATCCCTTCCTCCTCTACACACCGCGCGCGCTTCACTCCTCCACCATCTGTGCACCCTTCCTCCTCTACACACCGCGTTCGACATCTACAATTCTCCTGATTCTCCAGTGGACGCGCATGTGGCGTCGCGCTTCGAGAACATTCAACAGCTGACAGTGCATGCGCCGTCGTGCTGTATATATACTCAAGGTCGGCGCTCGCTCGCTCAGTTGCCGCTCGTCGGTTGGTTTGTACGGCGCGTCGACGTCCAAGGTCGCGGTGAAATGAATTCCAACGAATCCACAAACACAATGATCGACGTCCCTTCGACCAGCGCCGCCCTTTCGCATACGTGTGTACGTGTTCACTCATTTAACACCCCCTCCTACAACCACGTTAACCAATTTAGCCATCGACCCAAGTAAGTCGCAATTTAACACCCCATTTCACAACCACGTTAACCAATTTAGCCATCGACCCAAGTAAGTCGCACTTTAACACCCCGTTAACCAATTATATGGTCCGCATCCTCCTCAGTGTTCCCCCGAGGGAAGCTGCGGGCAATTTTTTTTATTTTTGCTGTAGTTGTTCCCTTTTCACGTAGATAGCGACGGTAGCAACTAACTGCCGGCTACTGAATCAATGGGCTTCTATGGAAGTTACGCTATCAGTTTCACATACCTTGCGCGGTGTTTCTCTTATAACCGTCGCAAATGTCCCACATGTGTTTCCAACGCCACGCGCGTTCTCGTAGCCTTTTTGATGAACGCTGCTTTTGATGAAGGAGGCGGCGTCACCAACGCTCGACTCCCCACGAAAGCCCACGGCAGACGACCCGTGGTGGCGTCCAACGCGGACCCCCCGCAAGAGACGACCACTCACTCCAACCACCACGCGCCAAAGAGGGCCGCTTATTTCTCATGTGCCGCCACCCAGGCTTGCCGTCAGGCGTCACTGCCGACGTTACTGCGCTAACCATGATTAGGATGCTGGTAATAAATTCTCGCGAGCACAACGCCACCTACCACTCTATAGTTGTGAATCCTGAATGCGGCCCATGCACGAAACACGAGCACCGCGAGGCGCAACAACTTTACAGGGGGTGTTAGAACTCCCTCATCCCCCTAAAATATCAAATGTTTTGCAAACTTGCGCAATGCAATGAAACCTAAAACGCACTCTAGCTGCTTCTTGGAGGAATACACAAGGCTCTGCAGCATTGCATCAATTAAAGCTGCGTGTCCACTCCTCGGCAGGCGACTGTCTCTAACGTACACCACGTTTCCACGCTCGAAACAAGAAGGTTCTCTGACCCACCCTTCTTGTCGAGTCGCCACCACTACAGGGCTATACATCTCTCAAAGCGAACCAAACTCGTAGCGAGTAAGCTACCGTCGTCTCTATTCCCTGAAGATGACGATCTTGTCGTCTTCGTGTAACAGCCTTCGATCTTTCTATGTGTTAAGCTGAAATATGGATCTTGTGCCTGCAAGGATAGTTCTTCGTAGACTAATACCAACGATGGCGCATAAGTACAATAGACGCTACGCTGACATGACATGCGACCTTCCTACGAATGATCAAGAAGCTGTTATCACAAAATGTCACTTCATGTAGACTAGGTGCAGTCAGTATAGGCTTCATTTTAGAAGCCATCAGCGTTTCAGTCGGAAAAACTAGTTGAATAAGAAGTTCAAACAATGGCAAACATCGTACACAAGCCAAACAATGGCAAACATCGTACACAAGCCCGTGTACCAATATGCATGAGACCCTGGCATAATACGGGTCTGACTCAGGCCCGAGGCCGACCAGTGCCCAAAGGGCCCAAACCCACAATGTCTCACCCAACCCGGACTCGTGCAGTGGTCTCGTCAGTGCTAGAACAGAAGCAAACGTATCGCACTAACTATAGGCTTCCAAAGCAACGTCGAGCGATGCCAATCTTATCATAAATGAGCCACAAAACTGCCGCCTATGCTCACGCGCAGCTCTCGTACTGCAGCTGCGGTGCCTCACAAGGGAACTATTGTGGACTCCAGCCCGAATGAGGAGCACATGCACGCATGTGCCACTGCCAAATGCGAAGACAAACCGCCTTCTCCGGCAGCATCTATCCCCTGCAGTAACGCAGAGCTTGCCTGCGCGACCATCGCACGTGAGCTTGAGCTTGATGATCGATGTGTGGGGTTTAACTCCCCAAAACCACCATATGATTATGAGAGACGCAACGAGCTTGGGCTTAGATTTACAATTATAGTGTCACACAATGGTGCCGAACTGGATGCGCGCGTCTGTCAGTTATGATGACTGGACGGCGCCCACTAAACATTTGCAGGTGCTTGGGCCACGCACTCTGCTGCTCTCGCTTCATTTGACGCCGATTGTACATACAATTTGAAACGCCTATCGGTGGCATATCTACTCCTGAGATACGCTGAAATACCGAATGACAGAGAATTTGGATATTTTGTAATGATTTAACATAAAGGGAGACAGGCGTTAAGACGTAGGTGAGGAGTTCAAGAGAATGCTGACCTGTAAAGAAATTCTGTGGCGAATTCATGTGCACGTCGCAAGCTGTGAATTTGGCACGTGCGATAAATGCATTTATTTCTATGAATCAACCGCCTGTGTGCTTTTTGTGCAAACAATCTGATTTCAGCGTGCACTGACACTTTCAAACCTGTGAGGCTACTGAGGTTCCATACCTTTTATGCCCCATTCGTGTTCTTTTATCATGCTGCAGGAGGGCTGAACGGGAGCTCACGGTTTACTTCAACGCACACTTCGCACCGGGTGCACCACTGGATGCCGGTGATCTCTATATGGCTGTGGCTGACGAGGTGCTGCAAGGCCGCCTTGGTGTCTTCAGTGGACTCAAAGTTGACCTCGAATCCCTCAGTGTACAAGGTGATCACTGTCTGGCACATGCTCTGGGCAGACGCCTTGGAATTATATAAAAACTCCATGCGTTAATTTACCTGGGCGGTGATCGTATGCCATTTTTACTGATCCCGAACGCGTAGCGAAAGTACAGCCGTGTTCACGTCCAAGAAGCGCGCTCTGCGGGTGTGGCAGATGCGGACCCTGACGCGTTTGATCAGTCGAAACGCGTCATCTCTCCAATGGAGCTGCCAAAAGTGCCCTGGGGGGGAGTACTTCTTCTGTTAAACATAAGGTCCCTAAATGAAACAAGGTTCCAAGGTAGCGTCACTCATTGTTCTCGATGGTGCCCTCCTCACTCTCTTGCCCTCCTTTTCATTCTCACTCTGTTACCTCTCCTTTTCTCTGCTATCCGCGTCTCTAATTGATCCATTCCTTGCAGGTGATATTTCAAATGGCTTGTGATGTAATTTATCATATTGCAAAATGTTCAAAACGAGAACGCATGAGCATGTGGCTGCAGCCAGACCCTCGCCGTGACCAAAGACGATATAGGAGCCGGGACATGACCTGAAGAGGAGAAGCGTTTCCGTTGGCGCCAAGTCGGCCAACATTGTTTTGGGGTGCTCGTTCAATGCAATATACGAGTTTTTCAACAATGCTGCGTTGCCGTAAAACAACAGAAAACAGTTTCGATCTCTTCAACTTACCTTGTGCTATTCGATATGAAGCACGCCGTGAAGTGTAGCTGTGAAACATTTCACGCGAACGCTTCCTTGCAACTCCATCGACGTACGTCGACGCGGATCTGCGAAAAAAAAAAAGACTAATAACTTTGTTTACAAAGTCCGGCGAAGTTTATTTGGGGCGGGCCTCAGCCCCAGCTTAGGCGTCGGCCACGAGTCCTTAGGCTCGGGCGGCTTCCTCGACTCGCTGGACAACCCGCAGTTATTCTAACAAAGAGCTATGCATAGTTACCGCCGTTAGCATAGTTACGTATCGCTGCTTGCGAGTCTCTAATTACTACTTGGACTTCAGTGGTCGCCACTGCGAATGCTATGGCCACCTCCTCAGCCGTCTCGGCGAGTGGCGTTCGCGCCGCCACGCTCGTCTTACATGTCCCTTTACAGTCGACCACCGCGGCCACGTAACCACACTTGCACACGTGCCTGGCCACGTCCACGAATACCGCTTCCTTGCAATGTCCGAATTTTCTGTGCAAGTCCTGCGCTCTCCAATTTCTTCGGCTGGTGTGATGTTACGGGTGCACAGGTGATGTTCCGGGTGTTTCGGCCACGATGGAATCACTACTCTTTCCCTCACCTTCGTGGGCACGTCGCCCTGTTCACCTTGCTGTGTGTGATAGCGTACTGCCAGTTTTTCGAGCGTGTACCTGCACGTTTTAGTCTTAGAAAGTCGTTCATACTGTGCTATGTCGTGCGCTTCTATTAATTCGTCGAGTGTGTTGTGCAAACTTAGTTATAATAATTTTACAATGCTTGTATTCTTGGGTAAGCAGGGCTTGTTTGTAAACTTTCCCGATTAAGAAATGTAAATTTCTCTTCTCGGCGACGTGCCATTCAATGTAAGGGGCAACGTACATCATTCTACTGAGGACGAAGGCTTGCACGAGCCTAATAGTATCGCCTTCTTTCATACCACTATGTTGGTTCGTAATTCGTTTAGGGAGTCAGATTGTCTGCCTTACCGTGTTTTACAACCTGTGAACAGTTTCGCTGTTGTGCCCATTAGCTGCAATATACAAGCCGAACACGCGTATGACGCCTACTTTGGGAATGATGTGGCCGTCCTAGGTTGCCAGCCGTATTGCTCGCTCTGCGTGATTTGCGCTTTGTTCGCAGTATTTGGACTTTCGACCTCTGCGCGTAGGTTTGTAAACTCGTAGGTCTGATTTCTGAGCCATGCATGTGAGGCCCTTGCCCTCTAAGAATCTTTGAATTGTATCAATGGCTCCCGGTAGTGTCTGTTCTATTTGGCAGTCACATCCCTGAGTTACCCACAGATTAATGCAGTCTGCATACAGACTGTGGCAGAGCCCGTCAATCTCTCTCAATTTCGCTGGTACCCTATGAGTGAGAGGTTAAAGAGGAAGGGCGAAATCACCGAGCCCTTAGGAGCGCCAGCGTTGCCCATCTCTATCTCTCCGAACTCTAGTTCTCCCAGGGTTATCCTCGCTGTCCTGTCCGGTAGGAAATCACGGACGTAGTCGTACGTCCGTTTACCGAGTCCTAATTCTAAAATTTGGGTCAGTACAGTTGAGCGCTTCACATTGTCAAACGCCTTCTTTCAACCTTGGCCTAAGATTTCTGTGGTGGACGTGGTCAGGTTGTGAATTATCTAGTGCTTGACTTGTAGCATGGTGTCGTGCGTGGAGAAGTTCTTCCTGAAGCCCAGCATGGTGTGAAGAATCAGGTCATGGTCGTTGAGAAAGTTTGTTAGTCTCGCGAGAACTACGTGCTCCATGGCCTTACCAACGTAGGTCGTCAATGATATCGGCCTTACATTTTCCAGCTGTAGGTACTTTCCCAGTTTGAATATCACAACAATGTGGGCGGCCTTCCACTGTCGTTAATACGTGGCTTTTCCCAGCATTCGTTAATGAAAAGCGCGAGTTGCCCTATCGGTGTGTCGCATAGATTTCCAAGTATTCTGTTCGTAACCCCGTCCGGTCCGGGCGCTGACTTTGAGTTGAGTCTGTGAAACGCCACGCGTATTTCAGATATACTGAACTGTCTGCCTAAGATTTTGTTCACAGTGCCTTTGTGTTCAGAGTGGGGCATGAGTCAAGTCTGATTAGTGTATCTCAACGGGAGTCCGTGCAAGATTTCTGCGTCGGTTCCTTCGTAGTCGTTTATCCTCTTTTTGCCTATGTGCCATTTTTGTCTCCTCTTGGTCCAGTAGGAGACTGAAGAGATTCCGCGCTTTGGTGAACCCTACCCAACTATTCATGCTATTACACGTCTCTTCCTACTGTGACTTGCAAAGCTGTAACGCGTATTCCTCGATGTCTCTATTTAGTTTAGCTATTCGCCTATGTAAAGTTCTATTGTGTCGTTGTACTTTTCACCGGGATTGTAGGCTATGTTTAGCCTCCCACATATGCAGAAGCTTGCTATCTAGGACCTGGAGGTTCGCCTCAGGAGAGACCAGACCTCGTGCGTTGCTGCCGTGGCATCCTGCCTCAGCGTTGCGGTCCACTTTTCTATATCTTAGATATTTTCCGAGGAGTCGATCCGTTTTTTTTCTGTTTTGCCTAAACTTCTCCCCCTCTACAAGATTTAGTAGCTTGTACTCAACAACAAGCTACTAAAACTCTACAAGTTTTAGTAGCTCGTTTTGCATGGTCCTGCATGGATGGGCATGAATCTCTACAATGGTGTGATCGTTCCCGAAATCCTCTTGTGTATTCGTCCAGCATACGTTTCTTATGCTTTTAGCACACGCGAGATCTGGCGAGATATTAGCACAAATGCTATTCCCTTGTCTTGCAGGCGTGGAGGGGTTGGTAACGATAGTGAGATTCTCCTGTTGAGCATCCTCGTATAGGTTTTCGCCTTTCAAATTTTCGTATTTGTAGCCCTATGCGGGATAATGAGCGCTAAAGTATTCCGCTATGAGAAGCGCTTGGGTCCCTGCGATGCTGACTGCCTTCTTGAGTAAGGCACCGAAGTGGTGCTTAAGTCGAGGCCTACTGGGCACATTAAGAACAAAACGACTATCGTCTTGGTTCTTTGGGGGTACTATCTGTACCAACAAGTGTGGTATCACGTTGACTTCTCATGCAGCGTTATGGTTAGGTAACGTTTGACTAGCGTCGTGACGGCTGGTTTTTCCCGAGGGGTGCTATCCCGAGAGGACCTGCAACCGGATAAATTAGATTTAACGTTACTTTCCTGTGAATGTATCACGTCTTGTTGCTTCTTGCTAATCAGTTACTGTTGTAAATGTCTCCACTTTCTAGCGTATCCTCTACAATTTCATTGCCAAATTACATAAATCTTAGTACTGGAAGTAGCCATGATGACAAGAAATTTTATTGTTTTCCAGTGTTCTCCAGTCTCTGTGTGCACGGGTCTGTTGTACGATTTCCTAGTCGATTTAGGGGCCTGCAGCTGCTTGCTGGTAGCCTTCGCTCGTTCTTTTCAACCCTCATCTGCAGGGCGGGGAGTTGTTGCTGTATTTACTGCATTGTAGTCGTTATCTGCTGCATCGCGCTTGTAATCTGGCTAAGCATTCCTTCTATTTCTGCTTTACTCGTGTTATTTTCATCCTCTATTTCTTTCCTAATTGTGCCTATGTCATCTTGGACCTAAGCTTTTCATATATCTGGTCGTTTTCTAATCATTTCCTCTGTTTTAAGTGTTTGGCTCTCAGCTTGCACCGGGTCTACTTCTACTGCCCTGCGTTTCGAATAGGTAGGCACGTTTCGTCCTCAGATAGTACTTCCCCTGTATTTTCCGCGAATTGGATCGTTCCGCTCTTTTTAGCTACCTCATTTTTAGGCTAACATTTTCTTCCCTGAGTTACTTTATTGCGTTTTTTAATCTAATGTTACCTCTCTACAATTGCTTAAGTAGTTTTTAAATCTGCATAATCATGTCGTGTTCCCCTTCACTGTTAGAAAAGACAGTGCCACACCGCGTGCGCTCTCCTGATGTGGCTTCTGCCCAGCTCACCTTGAAGGCTTTGGGTAGACTGTCGTTATCACCGGGCCCGGCAGCTCGCGTCGCTGTGGTGTCGGTACTGGCGGTAGACGTGTCCTGAGACTAGGGTCTGTCCTTGGCTCCAGTGCCTAACGCAGGTTGGTGCTCGGTGTTCCTCGAACGAGAGCGGGAGGGGACCGTGAGTGGGAGCGAGAACGCGAGGCGAATCGTCCTCGTCTCTCTCCATGCAGCACCAAACAGTTGTGTACTCTTTCTCCGTAGAGCCTATGGTCCTTGTCTGCGTCTTCCTCCCCGCTGGCGCTTCTTCACTACCTAAGGAGTCCTGTCCTTGGCGTGGCATTT